TTGATGCATTGAGTTGGGATGTGTTTGTTAACACAGAACTTCTTAATAGTTTCATAGACGGAATCGGGTTGTGTAACAGCAAACACCAAATCGTCACCAGTTGTCGAATCTTCAAGTCCTTCAATCTGGGTCCCCGTAATGATCTTGATGACTGGGCGGGCATAGTCCACTCTAATTCTTCGATAATAATTGGAGAGTTGTCCCTCAAATTTGTTGAAATCGTCTCTGCTACTCTCGGTCATGAAAGCAGTCCACTTAGTCAATGGCTTCATGTTAATGTACGAGACGTTCTTCAATAATCTGTTCCAGTCTCTCTTCTCATCCGGTTCAATCTTGTTATCTTTAAATATCAACGACGGTTGTGGCAACTTGAACGATGAGAACTTCGCAGGTTCAGTCGAAATGTCGATTCTCCAGTTCTTCATATCCACAATATTGGACATGTTCGTGGCAATCTCCTTCAAGCTTCTCATCTTCTCTCTTGGATCAGCGTGGAAAATACTTGCCATGTCTTGATTCAGTCTGTTGTCTGCTCTCATCGCATCAGTCATGCCTGTTGGGCACATGAATTCCGGTACAAAGTACGCCGGCTGTTTGACAACCTCCTTTCCTTCCGAGTCTTTCTCGATCTTTTTCTGGATCAAAATGGGTTGACCATCGTCCGTGACAATTTTGGTGTATTTGTCCGTGTAGTACTGTTTAATCGAAATTTCAGAGCCATCTTTTCTCTTGAACGTGCTCAATGGAGTCATTTCAAATGAGATCTCATCGATTTTCTCAAGTCTCTTAGTGATTTTGTTGTACAACACACATGGCTGGAACTCTTTCTTGATGACGTCTTGACTCTTTCCAGAGAGTGTTTGCAAGTAAGTTGATGTCCTCAGCACTCTGAATGACTTATCGACAACAATATAAGATTTGTCGTCGAAGATTTGGACGGTCGAGGAGAACCCCGGGAGGATATTGATTTCTTCCGACCCCGATCTCTTCGTTTCTCTGTGTTCAAAGTCGAAGAAGCTTTTCCTCCACGAAATCATATTTCGATTTCCTTCAATGATGATCGACTTGAGGAGCATATTCGACTTCTGAACGTCCAATTGATCTGTTCCGTTTGCCTTCGCAAGTTCGACAGTGAACTTTGTTCCGTTCCTCGCTATGATAGAAAAGATCTTTTCTCCTTCGGGGACTTCTTTTGGCAACGAGACCATTCTCCCGTCAGTGATGACCTTCTTGTGGAAGTGTGAGATGAGAAGTGCTCGCTTGAGAGCCGAATTGTCCGATTCGGGACTGAATCGGGCTTCATAAGAAATGAGGTG